GTATTCATTAGCAATAACTAAAGTACTCATTTCATCAATCATTCTATCTTTATTATAAATGAAAGGTGTACCTCCGCCGGGTTGGTTCATGTATCCACCCAATTGTGTTTGGACGCCACCCCCCGAAGGACGGGGGCCATTTTCGAACAAGTCGTGTTTATTTTGCAAATGCCGACTCAAGGTTCCGGTTCCATCTCCCGTTTTCCAATTATATGACTTGACATTTGCACCTAGCGCCTTGCAAACTAGGCATGTACACGTGAACCTCTTTGGTTGACCAGGTTGCCATCCCGGGGGTGTGACCTCAACTCGTTCAAAATGTTTCCACACCCAAGAAAAATGTGCTCGACCTCTACTTTCACCGCCACCACCTTTCATAAATCAAATTATTAAAATTAATTTTTAAATGCTATTCATGAAAATAAGCTTTTAAATTTTAAATATTTTAATTATACTTATTTAAACGCATTTTTCATGGTAATTAACTAATTGTAAATCATAGAAAATTGGAAACTAAACTAACTTTATAATCATTAATAATAGTTTTTTTTAAATATTCATAACAATAAAAATTTAATTAGAAATTACCTTGAGATGAAGGTTGAGATGTTGGTTGCGATGGAGGTGGCATAGTTGAACTTGATGATTGGTGGGACTCGTGGGAGAAATGTTGTGGTGGAGACGTTTGAATATTTTGCCTATCTCCTAAACCATAATCTCCATATTCATTGACAAATTGGTTTAAATTTTCCGTATTAATTTCATACGAAAAATTTGCACCACCACTCCTTTGGCTACCACTTCGACCACCACTTTGACTCCTTCCCATTCCTCCTCTTGAGCTCATTTTTTTTTTGTATGATTACTAATTATAATATGGAGAAGAACTTTTTTTTTTTAGAATCTTAAGAATACTAATAATAATATTAAGGAGATTTTTTTTTACAAAAATATAACTCTATATAACACTTGAGAATTTGAGAACAATAAGAATTTTTAAGTAAGAGAGAAAGAAAGCTTGAATTTGTGTGGAAATTTGAGTGAAATGGAATTGGTATTTATAGGAAAAATAGAATGGATGATCATACACTTAAAAAACTAGCCGTTAGATACAAAAAACTAGCCGTTAGATACAAAAAACTAGCCGTTTTTTTTTTTAAAATGGATGTTAGGCCGTGCGGGCCGTGCGGGTCGTGCGAATTGTGCGGGCTGTGCGGGCCGTGCGGGTTGTGCGGGCCGTGCGGGTTGTGCCGGCCGTGCGGGTTGGGTGGGTCATGCGTGCGGGTTGGGTGGGTCATGCGTGCGGGTTAGGTGGGTTGGCTCGTGCGGGTTGGGTGGGTCATTCGTGCGGGTGGGCCGTGCGGGCTGGGTTGTGCCAGGTGGGTCGGGTTAGGTGGGTTCACGGGCTAGGTGTGTCGAATTAAATGAGTCAAAACGGGTTGTGCGATTTGGGTCGAATCAAACGGGTTAAACTGAGCTGGGTTGAAATGGGTTGTGTCGAAAATTTTGGACCCACGACACAACCCGGATTAAATCCGAGCTGTGCCGGGCTGTGCCGGATTGAAACCGGGTCGGACCCACGTGACCCACCAGCCGTGCGAGTTAGGGTGGGCTGGGTCCAACCCGGCCCACTGGCCACCTCTACCCATAAACATCTTGTTGTTGATCTCCAATTGGTGATCCCCCAACCTCCACAACATCAACCAATCTCTTAATCCTGGCCCATCAAGTAACACTAACACGGCCCGTGCCCCTTCGACAACTTTCTTCGATATTGGTTGAGAATAGTAACCCAAATCATAAACCAAAGACATGGGTCTAGCAAGCTCAACAACACGAAAATCCAACAGATTAATTTCTCCAATTATGGGTGGGTCAGTGTACAAGTACCTCTTAAAATAAAAGTTGGTACAAAGTGGGCTAAGAAGTCGCCATTTGTTTAAACCAAGCTCACCCATTCTAGCTATCCACCCGCCGCAACAAGGACTCCCGGGCAAAGGGTAAAAAAGGTAATATCTAGTCTTGAGGAGATAAAGAGGTTTGTTATTATTGTTATTTCCATATTTGATTGGTAGAGGTAGAGCAGATCTCCAAGAAGGGCAGACACCGCGAAGGCGGGGTAGATCCGTCGTATAATCAAGATGGTAGGCGAAACGTTTCTCTTTCGTAATACTACCATTGTTTCATAACTGAAACGTTTCTCTTTCGCACGTATGTCAATGCAAGAATTTAACTGATAACATTTTTAAATATCAAAAAGTAAGAATCATAACAATTGCATATTAATAAACTATTCATATTCTTTCAAAAAAAAAGTAAATAAATAAACTATTCGTAGAGACGATTCTATTTCTAACAAGAACCCACAAAACTATTTATTCTTATGTATAAATCACAAAAGTCAGAGTAATAAATTTGATAAATAGTGCAAAAAGTCAAAACGTTTCGCTATTTATAATATGGAGGATATAATTATTGCAACATTCACTACAAGAAAATAACCTTTCCGTAGCGATTATTTTAACCTTTAGTACCGATTATAATTGCAACAAAAAGTTTTCCCAACGAATGGTCATTCGATAAATATCCCCCGTTGCCTTAGCCTTTAGTAGTGGTTTTCAATATCGCTGGGGTTGGCCTCAATAATCGATACGGAAAACTACATCCAATCGTGGTGATTATTGTAGCGATTACAATCGCTATAAATGTTTAACTCATTTTCTTAAAAAAAAAAAAAAAAAAAAAAAAAAAAAAAAAAAAAAAACATGCGTATAATCTTTACAAGATTCGAACATGCAACTTCAAACTCTTGTATTAAATGTTTCACCAATAAGATATGACCTATTTTATGTATTCTTTGTCAAACAATATTTATATATCTAGTGTTGAAAAGGTTTTTCGTATCGATTTTTAGGATTTATTGGCGACTGTAAATGATATGATTTCTCAAAATTATATAAATGTGTAAAAATAGTTTGGATATGTATTATTATGTTTTCCGTATCGATTTTACATGGGAAAACTATGGCGATTGTAAAATGCTACGACTTCCTTAATTATTTCAAAAATATACTTGCATATTGTAGCGAATGTATAATCGCTACGAAATAATCACTACGAAAAAACATTTTTCTTGTAGTGGCTTATTACATACTGACCCGGTATTATTTTATTAATTTTCTACCTAACTCACTCTACTTTCACATACTACTAGTATTTTATATCTCTCTCAGCTCATACCAATTTCACTTATGACGTGTTCAGTAAAAGTAGTACGTTGTGTGAGTAGTTGTTATTTGTCATAGTAGTGTTCAGAAAATTAGTTAACATGAATACATGCTTGACAATTACAATGAGATGAATAATTCAATACCTACGTACAATAATACTAGTGATTGCAACCGGAGTCTCGTACGATCTAAATAACCTTTAATACAATACTGAAGTCTAAAACTGATACTACAAAATCTAGTCCTAAAGCCTAGCCTATAACTTAAGGTTAAGGTTAAGGTTAACGCTAATGATCATGCTAGAAGATGAAGTAATTTTCTTGTTTGTTGTTGATGATATCCTTCTACTTTAAAGTTGTTACCGCTTTGACAATGGTTGATTGGTTTGGGAAGAACATCTGGCTTTTTGGGTGATTGGGCCACTTATTTGGGCTTTCTTATGCTTAGGCCTAATGATTCAGGGCTAAGTAAATTTCACTGAAACCCCTAAGGCCCAAAAATTGAAAAGGACACTAACGCAAGGGAACTTTCTAAAAAATATATGGATGATTTACAAACAGCTTAACCATACGGAGTATTATTTTATCCCGCGTAGAATTAGAATGTGAGTCTCAATTATTTTTTATGATCAAAATCACTAGCTACTAGTGATTACCGACATTAATACAATAAAACCGCTATTTTAAGTATTGTTTTATACTATTAAAAAAAAAAGGTATTGTTTTATAAGACAATATATGTTGTCAAAGGATCGGATGACATAACCATTCTTTGATAATACATTTTTTAATGCATATACACTTAATTTCCTTGATTTTTTTTTTTTTTATGTAAGTGATATGTTCTTTAGTACAACTAGCTAGTCTGTATATATATACTTTTATATTTCATTTCTTCGTACCTGTAACTCATTGCATAGGCACACATTCTAAGAAAGATATCATATAAAGTAAATAGAAAAATAATTTGGAAAATTTGTCAAAAATAACCTTTTAAAGTGTCCACTTTATTTAAAACAACCTTTTAAATTTTTTTTTTGCAATTTAAGACCACATTATAAATTTTTTTTATCAAAGACAACCAAATGTTACTTTCCGACGTTGACTCAATTTTTGCCGATGTTGACCACGAGTGTGCGAGTCACGTGACCTCCTACATTGCTTAATACACCCCTTTTTCCTCCAATTAACTCCTATTAAAACCTCTGCTTCTCTTTCATCCCTCTTTTAGTACGAGTGAATTGGAGTGAAATTGGTGTATTAAGCAATATAAGAGTTCATGTGCGTTGCACACTAGTAGTTAATATCGGGACAAATAGAGTCAAACGCCGGAAAGTAGCATTTGGTTGTCTTTGATAAAAAAAAAAAATTATAATGTGGTCTTAAATTGCAAAAAGAAATTTAAAAGGTTGTTTTAAATAAAGTGAACACTTTAAAAGGTTATTTCTGACAAATTTTCCAAATAATTTTAGCTTAACATTAAGAGGCAATACATATATATATTAGAGTGACTAGTACTGTTCAATATGAGATCAACTTTCTTCTTATTGTATTAAGACATACGTGTAACAAACTGAAAAACCTCACGTACTACTGCAATACTCGTACTAAGCAGTTTTGACAATACAAAGAACTTAATTAACACTACATATTTAGATAGTGCCTCACTAATTATCTAATAACTTGACAAAATCATACTTATAATAACAAACTAAAGGATTCCTTATTTCTTTTATAGTGCATGTTCATGTGTAGTACGTACTACGTAGTCCTAGTTTCCTCCAGGGTTAGGACCTACACCAGAGCCTGCCCCAGCCCCAGCTCCAACACCAATACCCGAACTCGATCCAACACCAGGTATACCAGGCAAACCTCCCATGCTCCCGCCCATTCCAGCACCTACTCCGGCTCCAATACCGGTGGACCCCCCGATGGGTCCACCAAGGCCGCCACCACCCATCCTAGAACCAGCTCCAATACCAGCTCCAATACCCGAGCCCATGCCAAAGCCCGGTTGTCCGCCCACAACACCTCCAGGAACACCACCCATGCCCATGCCACCACCAGGCCCACCTTGGCCCATACCAAAACCCGGTCCACCTTGGCCCATACCAAAACCTGGCCCACCTTGACCTAAACCACCACCTGGAACCATTCCCCCTATGCCACCTTGACCTCCCCCAACTACACCGCCTGGTGGTACGCCACCCGGTGGTACACCTCCGACACCGGGAGGAGGAAGACCACCTATACCGGGAATTCCGCCACCCATTCCCGGACCACCACCATACACACCAACATCACCTAAATCCTTAGTGGTGAAACGATCATTTCTTATAGCATAAGTTTCACCAATTACACAAACAAGAACGTATATAAGCCCTAGAAAGATAAGAAGCTTACAATTCATTTTAATACTTATATTTTAAACTATCAAAATTACAAGCTTTTTATTTTTTGTATGTAGAAATATAAAGCAAGTGATGAAAGTTGACTATATTGAGATTTAAGAGGGGTTTATATAGAACAATGGTGGAAGAAGACAAAATTTGCATGAGAAAAAGTACCGTTGAGAAGGTTATAAATGTGGTAAGGCCACCAGCCAGTTTAAACATCTATATATGTTTTGCATGTGCATGTAATCTTAAATTTGAACCTATGTGGCACTCTATGTGTAGTAGCATAAAGAGTAATGATATGATATGTAGAGGTTTTTTTTTTTTTTTTTTTTTTTTTTTTTTTTTTTTTTTTTTTTGGGTTGGTAAGGAGTATTGTTTTACCAGCTCGAATCTCTCACAAGTACTCCCAGCCCGGGATAGTCGGCTAAGTGCTTTGAAAATAGGGGTGGAGAGGGTAAGGGAATCCTCACGCCACCCAACCCAAAGTGTATTTAGTGGGGCGTGATCCAAACTCATACGTTACAAACTTTTTCATTAAACCAACCAAAGCTTGGTGTTTAAAAAGTAATGCACAATATAGTATATACTACGTATGTATAAGTGTAAAACACCAAGTAATGATTTGAGGCAGTGAGGCACTACTCACTTACTCAGGTCCAAAAATTAGTACACCCTCCGTCCCTAAATTACATTTCTACTTCTCTAGAAATGTAACGGAGGGAGTATGAAAATATAATATATCTTTTTTCAATAAAATAAGGCGGTGTATGTATTACTGGTAGATAAGTATATACAGTAGAATTAAATGTAGTTTGAGGGTAGAAACAAATGCATAACAAACTCTATTGAAATTTGAAAAAGAGAAGTCGAAACTGAATCTCAGTCTTATCATCATTATCTGCCTTGATTTAATGAAGAATTTATGGTTTCAGTGACCGGTGTCTTCCTGCATGCCATGCATGTCTTGTTGTTGTTAAATTATTCGTTTATCTCAAATTTGCATGCATAATATGCATTGGATTCACCGGCTATAATTTAGTACAGTACTTCCTTAATTTGCACGTCAATGAAATAATTTTTTTAATTTCTTTTTCTATTTTTATAATAATATTTATCTATATATAACATAAATTAAAAATCCAACGTGGTATAATTTAATTTGTTGGCTTTTAAGTACTTATTCATGCAAAAGCAACTTAATTACTACGTACTCTATTCTCTATTCGATCTTTAGTTGTTTTGCACCTTTTACTTGAATAAATATGGGCAGAGAAAGGTCGTAGTTAAAGAAATATTATCACATGTATGTTTGGATTGATGATTGATTATTGATTATTAGACTTAACCATACGTAGATTAATAAATAAAATGCTTAAAAATATTTTATTAGTTTATCGGAAGGTTCTTTCAAAAAAAAAGTTTATTGGAAGAAATTTAAATTAATACCGTTCAGGTCATGAATTATAAAATCATCTCTAATTTTATTCACGAATTGTATAAAATTAATTAAGAATGCAATCGCAACTTATCATACTCAGATAAAACTGTAAACATATTAGCTATGTTCATAAACGGTGTTCCATGTTTAATTAAAGAAAGTGTTCACAATCTAAGAGTTTTACTCTTATATAATGACTGACTTTTGAACACTATTATAATATGTAAAAGTTAAAATGGTGCAACTATGGTATAATGGAAAAGTAGAGGTTATTACAGATCGGGTTATGCTTAATAAGATTGGGCCAATAAATTCATGTTCATAACTTCTTTATAACGGCCTGGGCTTGAGGCAGGTAATTTTTCCAACTAAATGGGCCTTTCAGGCTCGAATTCAAAGCCCAAAATTGGGAAACCCACCATTTTATGACCCAGTTAAGTTTGATCAGCTCTAGGAGAAAGTATGTAGTATACCCAATAACCCAATACTAGATGCATGCATTATATCCTTTACTCAACTTTTTTTTCTTGTGCAATACTGCATGCAAGATGCAACCATTTGATGTAAGGTCATTTTTTAGCCATGCGTCTTTGGAATCTTTGTATTAATAATCTAATGCAAATGAAATCACGTACTTTTTCGATCATTAAATGTACTCCCTCCATCTTAAGATGATTGTTTTCTTATGCTTTGGCACGTATATTGAGATTAGATTTTAGAGTTTTGTTTGTTTGTTTTTTATTATTATTATTATTATTATTATTATTATTTTTTATGACACAAGTGGTATATGTTTGTTAAGAGTAGTGGATTATGGAAAATTAAAGCCAAATTATTTTTTATTAATATGGAGTAGCTATTACAGCGGTAAACATTTTAAAATTCAATAATTTGAAATGGAAATATACAATTAGACAAACCAAAACCTAGTAATTTGCAAAATTCCAAGTACCATTTAATTTTACTCTAATTGCAAAAGTATGCGTCAACCATGAACCATCTCAACATTAATCTGAGATTTGTATAAAAGTTAAATTGGTGCAAAGTGGAAGCGGAGGAGTTATGCATCTTATATTTTCTAACTTTCTCATTAGACTTATCACTTCATTATACCCAAAGGCCTAAATGTGCTTCTCATGTTATCATGTCACTATTCACAATAATGCAACTCCATTCCCTAACATGTCATAAATATGATTAAATTAAATAATTACTTAATACCACCTGTAAAGCTAAGTAGATACTAATTTGAGGATAGACAAGCAGACATGTGTAAAATTCCAAATAAATTAAGTTCACTAATTAATGGTATACAACATTAAATATCATACTGCCAATTAGATTTGGTTATTTGGCAGGTCGATCTAAAGGTATGTGTGTGGGACAATATATAACACGTTTAGGTCATAATTAGGCCGGGTCGCCTTTTAAACAGTCATTATTGATTGAGTTAGGTCATCAATAGTGAGGGAGCTAAAAAATAAGCGATGGAAAATTAGAATTGATAGAGACAAAAGTGAGTACAATTGAATGCAAAATTATATTCTACATACAACCTTTTCTTATTAGGTCTATATTATTTTTGCCTTATATTGACTCTGTCTAGTTAAAAACTTGTTCATTAAGGTTATTATCAAATAAAAACCCCTTTAATTTGAAATTAAATCATACCCTTCCAATTACCCTGTCCATGTCCATCAACGAGGTCATCCACATATCAAATGGGTCGTCCAACAATGAGCCAAATTATACAGCTGCCATATAAAAAGCATGCATGGTATTATATTCAGATTCATTACATCATAAATTAATTCTAACAATAAATAGAATCTGATAAATGTCGTGTTTCATGTGCCTAGCTATATACTTCCTCTGTTTTTTTTAGTTGACACCTTTTTATTATCACGTTTGTCAACTCATGTTTTTAATGATTAATATCTCTAATTATCAACATTATAAAATTATAAAAAGTGGATATTAATATAATATACATTAAAACAATTCAAATAAGACCTCACATGAATATGTTTTATCGTATCTATTAACTACAAAAACGAGTCAAAGCGTATTGTGTGAATACTGTAAAAGTCAAATGGTGTCAGATCAACTAAAAAAACGGAGGAACTATGTTAAATACTGTTGAATAATGATTCTGCAAATCATGGTGATGTTGAGATCAATGAGATCGTATTCAGTTTCACCTAGACCAATTAAGTACTTCATGTTCAAGATGAAATATAGGTGACATTGAATGATTGATGATCGATATACTGCACATACATGGTGGCAATAATTCTACATGTAATAAATATGAAGTAATCGAGATAGTGTAATAATATGAAGTTATATTATGAAGATGATGTAGCAATATGAAGTAATCGAGAAGGAAAATATTATTCTTCAACCATTTAATTTATGGAATTATGAATTGAAAAGTATAGAATGAACTTAGAGTTCCCGGCACAATAATATCGCAAAACAAGTACAAATCGAGCCGATTATGGAAGCTATTGCTCCCATACTATAGAACGTACGTAATTTGGTATCTAGGGTTTGCAGTATGCATGTCATGGGCGGAGCTAGAAGGGGACATGTGGGGACACTTGTCCCCCCATTTTCAAAAAAAAAAAAATTAAAAAAAAAAAAAAAATTAAAAAAAAAAAAAAATTTAAAAAAGAAAATGCAATTACAGTCTGTTGCGACATTTGCCAGCCAGCCAAACCCTAAGTTTTTCAATTTTCAATTTCTCTCTCTTCGATTCGCCCTCGCCTGTCGCCTTACTTGTGCGCATATGGGCAGTGCTGCTGTAAGAGGCTAGTGGTTGCAGATTGGTGAAGGGTGAGCAGGAGAGAGGTAGGGTGGGTGAGGTTTGATGGAAATTGATGGTGGGTTGTTTCTAGGTGCGGGTTGTAGCTGCTTGCGGTTGGTGGTGTGAAGGTGAGTGGAAATGGTGGGTGATGGTGGTTCAGGTGCGTGGCTGCTGTGGTTGCTATAGTTTGGTTTGGGTGGCTGTTGTGGCTGCTAGGTATGTGGAGCAAGGAATTTGGTTGCTTAGGAGTGGTTTAGGATAAGGACAAATGGGGTGAAGGATAAGGTGGCAGCAAGAAAGGCAAGATGCAGGGGAGTTAAGGAAAGATGTGTTGGATTTTGCTTGTTAGATTGAACCTATACTTTGGACCTTCAAATATAACTTTGATTTGAGACACATTCCTCGTCTCGGGCACAGACCTACACAAAAAAACCGAGGAGAAATCAAGACAAATAAAATAAAATAGAAATAAATAAAGTAAAATAGAAAAAAGAGATATAAAACTAAAACTAACAAAAATTTAAACAAAAACTATACAAGTAAATAAAATAAAATAAAATAACAAAATAAACATAAAGCTAATTAAAACTATGAAAGTAACAAAGAAAAGGAACGAAATAAAATAAATCGAAAGCACATAAATACGAAAATAAACTAGAAACCAATTAACTAAAGAAATTAAATCAAAATATAATAAAACTAAGAAATAAACTAGAAACTTTATTCAAAAGAAAACAAGAGAATAAAAGGGAAAATAAACACGGAAATAACTCTGAAACTACTCCCAAAGAGTGACATAAATGTCACTCATCAAATTCCCCTAAACTGAACCTTTGCTTGTCCTCGAGCAAAGCTACGACAAAAGAGAACAAGATGGTATTATTGAAAGCAAAAGAAACAAAGTAGAAACAGAGAGAAAGAATGTACACTAACTCACTGTCGTAGGAATCACGATCAATTTTAGATACTAAAGACAAGCCATTTAAACCCCTAGATCACCCTAGAGGACGAGTGATGCTCTCGTGAGAGTTTCCTAAGAGTTTACCCCACAACTCTCGATAAAAAACCAAGGCAAGGCAACAAAAGGAAAAGAAAAGAAACATGAAAAGAGAAAACAAACACAAGCTCATATATGGACAAGAGAAAGGGACAAGTACTAATGAATGCAAACCTTTCTAAATGGACAAATGTATGCACGTTCCAAAATGTCAATGGTTGATTGAAACAGAACACCATTTTGAATTGTATGAAGACTCGAAGAATGAACATGAAAGGGACAAGTATGAAGACTCGAAGAATGAACTTGTAATTTTAATGTAATGTTTATGTAATTTTTTTCATCATTTTGAATTGTATGACTAAGTATATATTTGTATTTTGAAATTTTAATATTAAGTATTAACCAATTTGTGTGTGAGTTTTTTTTTTGTTTTTATTTTTTGTTAAGCTTTTCGTAAGTTAAGCATTTTGTCCCCCCAAGTTGAAAATCCTGGCTCCGCCACTGATGCATGTAAACTACAAAAGTGTGTGCTCAATGATATCCACCACCAGCACCACCTCCAGCACCTCCACCATATCCACCGCCAGCACCACCTCCAAGGCCACCACCGCCTCCGGCTCCTCCACCACCACCAAGCCCTCCACCACCACCAGATCCTCCACCTAGTCCACCACCAGCTCCAGCTCCACCTCCTGCTCCATATCCGGCTCCACCGCCTGCTCCTCCACCAGCACCTCCACCTAGTCCACCACCTGCACCACCACCAGCTCCTCCACCTAGTCCACCTCCAGCTCCTCCACCTAGTCCACCGCCATCTCCACCTCCTGCTCCTCCACCAGCACCACCACCAAACCCTTTACCACCACCAGCTCCTCCACCTAGTCCACCGCCAGCTCCACCTCCTGCTCCTCCACCAGCACCACCACCGAACCCTTTACCACCACCAGCTCCTCCACCTAGTCCACCGCCAGCTCCACCTCCTGCTCCTCCACCAGCACCACCACCGAACCCTTTACCACCACCAGCTCCTCCACCTAGTCCACCACCAGCACCAGCTCCACCGCCATACCCGGCACCTCCACCTGCACCACCACCACCACCTAATCCTCCACCTCCACCGCCACCAAGTCCTCCGCCGCCTCCACCTCCAAGACCCCCACCTGCTCCTCCTCCAGCTCCAGCACCACCTCCATAGCCAGCACCTCCTCCAGCACCTGCACCACCTCCAAGACCACCACCAGCTCCGCCACCATATCCACCACCTCCACCTAGGCCTCCACCATGGCCAAAGAGTTTCTCATCCTCGAACTCATTCGAGGTGCTCACTAGCATCCTAGCACTAGTACTGCATACTAGGACACCAAGGACTAAAAATACGAAAACTTTGGTACAAGCCATCCTTGTAGTAATAATAATTTGATTATATGATTATGGATGAGAAATTGAAGCCAAAGTAAGAAGATTATATATAGCAATCCCTTGATCAAGTGATAATGCACAAGTTGTATTACAAAAAGCTTGGAACGGTTGAGAAAGTTTATAATTAATGTAGTACAAACTGCATGTGCTCGTCAAGATACCGTGTTGGAACACTTTAATTGCCTTCAACTGCTTAGGTTGAAAATATAACCTGGAAAGCTGGCTAGCGTTGTGTTCAATTATCACTTCATAGTTCATACTAATTAATATGAATGTTCGAATGTTAGAGTTTTTAGACTATACTTTTATGGATATTAATCATTATTATTATTCCATATTTCCACCAGCTTTTATTTCACTCAACTTTGAATGTCCTTCCTTGGCCATTGCCCATTGCTATATTACTACTTTTGTAGATATGATGATGAGCAGTACGCCAGTACGAAAATATATAGCATATGTATACTCATCATCATTATATAAGTCTCATGTTTTATTACAAAAAATTATTATTTAGTTAAAATGATGAAAAAAATGCATTATACGTATACACATCGTCACGTATATACAAGTTGATAGTTGTAAATTGTAATGTGCAATTCCAATTACTCCGTAATTGTTACAATTTTCACGCTTATTAATTTTCCGGCATTATTCTAAAATCATCTACCATATATTAACCAGTCATTTCATTTTTTATAATTGTAAAATAAAAAAAAATAGTAAAAATCCGTGAAATAAACAATTAGAGATTAATTACCAATTAATTATGTTTGTCAATAACTTATAAGTAAAAATATTGATTTAACATAAACAAATAACGATTATGATTACAAGATTATATTTGCTACAAAATTATTGTTAATTTATAATTTATATTAGATTGAGTGTTATGTTACCTCAAATTTGAATTGTTGATCGAATTGAATCCATTAAATCACGCGTTTATAGATTAGCCAGTGGATCCCGTAATCTCAAACTCACAAGTAAAAGCTACGAGTCATTTTCGTAATAATAAGCAATTGCTTGGATGAAAAGGTATGAGATCAATTGTCATATTAAATAATTGAAAGAGACTTAAGCTTTGACTAAGAGACTGCATAATTAAGTTGTGTGCAATCTGTACAGTACATTATCGATCAAAAGTCAAAAGTAAGGTTGAGAGGATTTTAGATGCAACTTCATGCAATATTACTACTACTCGTATTGCATGTGTATTTGTTTAATCATCTTGGAAGTTAAGAACGTACACTTCAATGAGTATTAATGTACTATGACTTTATGTCTAACTGTCTTCTTTGAAAAAAAAGAATGCATCTTGGTTAGCTTTCGCATTATGCCGCTAATTAAAAGTTTTGAAAAACTTTATGCATTCAGTTTACGTACAATTGAATTAGATGCAAGGAGGAAGAGTTACCTAACTCGATTATTTATCACAATTAGAAATGAGCAACTTTTTCTAGAGATTATAATATACTTCTTATTATTAAACTAATCTAGGTTACTAAATACTAAGCCTAGAATGCTATAGAACTAAGAACTATGAATTAAAGCCTAAAGAAATGTAAATTGCGATAATGTTGATTGTTTGATCGATGTCCTTTTAAATTAGCCGGGACTCATTTCTCCGGTAGTCTTCTTTAGTTTGGCCTGCGTGATTTTTATACATTTTGGGCTTGGACCCCTAAAGTCAACAAAAAATAATAATGGGTCAGAATATTTTGGGCTTGGACGCTTGGACCCCTAAAGTCAACAAAAAACTATAAATGGGTCAGAATATTTTCTCACTTTTGAGTTGCCTAAAATGCATATATGCTTATTGATTAGCATTTTCGGAAAAATGAAAGTGTTCATTATATTCATATCAATGCTTTTTACAAAAAAAAATCAAAAGAAATCGCATTTATCAAAATTTTTATGAGTATATACCCCCTTCTTATTTATTTTTGTTTTATTTGTAAAGCTAGGATACATGAAGAAATTAAAACGTACCAAATGCCGCCAATTATTAGTTGTATGTGTTCAACCTTGAACCTTCCATTTTATTAAATCAAATAAGATTAGAAGAAATAGATTAGAAGTTCAAGTAGATAAATAAAGCATAGAGCCTATCTTTTTCTTAGATGATTTGAGATCGATCAGAAGTACAAGTTTAACGATTGTATAGTAAAGGAAATGCGCAAGTTGTAGTGTTGAAGGTTGTAAAAGTTGAGAGACTAGAGACTTTAGAGAGAATGATTTAATGTTGTGCGATATGTTCATCTAACAACCGTGTTGGATCAACTTTAATACTAGTATCTTTGAGCTAAGGCTTCTACTTCAACTATAGAAATTTATATGATTTAAATTATGAGGTGTTTTACCTTGATTTTTTATATGCTAACAAACTCTTAATTTATTTGTGTGCGCATATTTATAGATTTTCGTATGATATGTAGAAGAGAATTTTTTATTGACACTTTGTGTTCATTTCATCATTTGTACATAATTTTATATAAATTAAATAAAAGGTGCTAAAGCACTAAAGGTGTATTTTACAATGTAATTTTCACTTGTATTTGAAATTTCTAAACATAACTGGTGAACATTAAGTTTCTTATTATAATGCTAATTTTTTCATTATTATTATTATTATTATTATTAGGATTTTTTGTGAAATACTACCTTTTAAACTCCAGATTTTGCGAAAAACTACCCTAAAAACAAAATGTTGTAATTAACTACCTTATAAAATATAAAACGTTGTAATTGACTACCTTCTACCTGAATGACACATTTGACTTTTATTTCCCGATGTTGACCATGTCACGTGAGGGTCATGTGACCCTTTAATGACTTAATTCCCTTCTTTTTCCCAAATTTTCCCGCTTTACACCAATTCAGCCCATATAATTATCAAAGGGGATGCAAATAAACAATATAAAATATGAATAATCATATTGTTAAGGAAAAGAGTTGGTATAAAGTGGGAAAATTTGGGAGAAAAGGGGGGGAATTAAGTCATTAAAGGGTCATGTGACCCTCACATGACATGGTCAACACCGTAAAATAAAAAACAAATGTGTTATTCCAGTGGGAGGTAGTCAATTACAACATTTTATACTTTATAAGGTAGTTAATTACAACATTTTGTTTTTAGGCTAGTTTCTCGCAAAATTCAAAGTTTAAAAGGTAGTTTTTCACAAAATATCCTTATTATTATTATTTTTTTTTTTTTTTTTTTTTTTTTTTGGTGAGATGCCTTAAATTAGACAATGACATGCTGATGCTCAAACAACATCCATTTGTATAACGCCTTATACTAGTAGAGTAGTAGAAGTATTTCTTTTAGCTGTTTGAACATTTCGTTTCTTTTAATTGTATTAATTTTCTCAATTTCCAATTATGGAGTATATTAAGATGTACAAAGTATATGGTCAATATGGACATATTGTGTATGACTATGTTCTTACAAATTAAAATCCTTAACTGGATATTGAATCAATTGAACTTATTATAATAGGGAGTTTTAGTTTTAATTTGTTAGATTGAAAGATGTATTAATTAGAAGAATATACTATATATAGACCACGTCATGTGCTGATATTCGGATAACGAGGATAGAACTCCCAAATTGGCTAATGCATGGAATTACAGATTACATTGAATTCAAATATAAGAAATGTAACAATAATAAATGGGAGATTATATTGATGAACAATTGAACATACACTTTTCAAGTGTATCACTACAAAGCTAAAGCAAAGCACCAATCATCAAGAATGCTTAAAGCACTTGTTGACAGTTACATTACATGCAATTCATTCTTACGTACATAACGATATAAGAAATGATCAATAAGTAAATTATTAATTAGTACTTAGTAATAAGAGTGGTATTGTATGTTGTGCCGCCTTATGATTTTTAATTTTGGTGGAATGTATTCAAGGAAATCCATGTCCAAGTCCTCCTCCAGAACCAGCACCTCCACCAAATCCAGCTCCGGCACCACCGCCAAGCCCGCTACCTAGCCCACCGCCTCCACCACCTCCAAACCCTCCACCACCGCCTGCTCCTCCACCTAATCCACCACCAGCTCCAGCTCCTCCTCCGGCTCCAAACCCAGCACCGCCACCAGAACCACCACCTAGCCCACCACCACCACCTCCACCAAATCCTCCACCACCTCCACCTCCAAGTCCACCACCGGCTCCTCCACCAGCACCAGCACCACCTCCAAATCCAGAACCACCTCCAAGACCTGCACCACCACCAAGTCCACCTCCGCCTCCACCACCAAATCCTCCACCACCTCCACCTCCTAAGCCTCCACCGTGGTGCCCGAAAAGAAACTTCTCATCATCATAGGAGTGAGGGGTAGCTAGCTTCCTAGCACTAGTAGTGTAAACTAGTGCACCAAGTAACAAACATAGGAAAACCTTGGAACAAGTCATCTTTTGTATTAGGGTTTTTTTTTTCTAAATAGAATTTAGATGACTTGGAATGAGAAGTGGAGAGCTGCTCAAGGGGATTATATAGTGATAGATTTGACTAAAGAAACTGCGCAAGTTGTGTAGCAAAAAGGTTGGAACGGTTGAGAGAGTGCTCAATAATTAATGTACATGTTCATCTAATAACCGTGTTAGGTCAACTTTAATGCTTTCATCTACTTTATTTGATATAAAAACTTGATGAAAAAAGCTAGCAAATTTAATCTTTGGACCCGACCATACACTTTTGGTATGTTGATCTTCCACACTTTTCTTTCACCATTCACATCATCATTTCTTGCATGTCCATTTCAATATTATTTGTCTCATATGATGCCCGAGTTCCAAGTTTTTTTTCTCATTACAGTTACTAAGCTTCCTCCGCTTGCTAATAGTTAATTCACTTCGATTTTGAATAAGTACGTACGTCTTTTACCGTTGATATTTTTAATAACGTATAGTTGAAAAAAAAAATTAAATTAAATTACACTATAATGAATCTATCCATTCTACTTTTTTCTCGTATATTTTCTCTAATTTTATTTATGTAACACACAACTTTATCAGTCACTTTAAGGGAGATATTGGATCAGGTAATTAGACAAATTAATAATTGACAAAAAAATTTCATCATGAAGAAGAAAGTGATAAGTTACTACGATTTAAATTTTCTAACTTAATTATTCGTCCATTTATCTAGTTTTATCACTTCCTCAAATAGCTTACGAAATAAGTACTCTAATTGATAGAGTATAAAACATATTCAGAATGTCACATATAAGAAAAATAAGGAAGATGAGTTAATCCTATAACCACCAATTGGTTTTAGTATTGATAGAGTATAAAACATATTCATGTGTTTCAACCATCAACTTAAGCTTTTGGTTGAGATAATCTGTTAACATGGTATCAGAGCTAGCGTGACACAAAGGTCTCGGGTTCAAATCTCCTCCACCTAGCTCCCACTTTCAAGTGGAATATTAAGCACTGGGTATGAGGAGGGCCTATATTGTATCCACACTTCTAGCCCAAACGGGTTCTCGTGTGAGAGGGCGTGATAGAGTATAAAACATATTCATGGGCCTCAACTATCAGTTTAAGTTTTTGATTGAAATGATCCGTTAACAAGTATGTATGCAGTTAACCTTTTTTTATTTTACCTTATCTGTCGACTAAAACTCTCATTTTCCTTATTTGGGTTGTTTAGGGCTATATTACATACCTCAATTACATATTACTTGCAACTTTTGAATTTTTAAATAATTAACAAATAATACCCTAAAAAAAATTTATAATATACAAGGAAGGTAGTATTATTTTTAAGCTTTAACACACACAAAGAAATGAGAGATTAATTTGTGAGGATGGGAGAACCGGAGAAACCATGGCGTGGAGAAAGCACATGCACGTACTGTTTCTTTAAAAAGAATATTTGGTCTTTGATTACAAAAAATAACTTTATGGGTATATGAAGGATGAAGATGGCTATTGAAAATGAAAGAGTAAAAAGATATAAACCTAGCATCAAAGTAGTTGATTTTGACTGAAATGTCAATTATTTGATGGCTTTTGATTTCATTCAATATTTTTGCCGTGTTTGGTGAAAAGTTAATACAAGTATATAATTGTATTAATTGATTTTAACTAGATAATTGTGTCATTTGATTTAACAAATTAATTGTATAAAAGTATTTGGTAAATACAATTAATTGGTTATTTTAAATTGTTTGAGTATATGAAGTGACCAATAAGTTATGTTGGGATAGGTTTTATGTAATTGGAATAGGATTTTAGATTAAATAGGGGGTAAAACTATATACGTGTACTTATTCTTACAGATATTGAATAACCTGATCAAAAAGCTCATAAAAAGAGTTTTTTTGTAAAAGAGCTTATTTAGTAGTAGAATAAGTTCTTTGAATAAGTAGTCAATGGCTCGATGCCAAACACTCCAAATTAGCTTATTTAATTGGAAAAATGGAATCTAAAAATCCAACCTTTGCGAGGTCTGACAAAAAAAATCCAACATTTAATTAATCTCACAAAAATCCAACCTTTGCACCCCAACTTCTCCTACAGATCCATTACCTGTTGACGATCGATTTTTGTAAGTTATGTGACACGTGTCAGTCATTATATTGGTCAATTATTTTTTTAATTATTAAAAAAAATATTAAAAGAAAAAAAACAGAAAAAAAAACCCCACCACCAGCCACCTTCCCCAGCCCCCGCACCACCCCAGCCACCTCCCCACTCCCCGACAACTTCCCCCCAGCCCCACCATCGGGATCGTCGGCTTTCGACGATCTCCCCCCACCCCCACCCCTTGCCGCAACCTCCCCAACCACCAAAACCCCCTACGAATCTAAACCCTAACCACCACACCAAACACCCTATTCGACAAAACCCACCAAAAACCAGCCCCACCCTCCCCACCGCCCTCCGGCCACCACACACCGGAACCCAGCAAACCCGTCACGCACATGAACCCAGCAAACCCATCTCTTCCCCCCCCCCACAAAACCAACAACCATCAGCTCCACCAATTTCCCCCAACACCGTTGCCCCTGCAAATCCCCTGTGCCACTACATCACACGCACAACAACTAACCACAAAAAACGCAACCTCAATTCGCCTAGCCCGTCTAGCCTACCACCCACCACCACCAACAATAACTGACCCAATTTAAGCGGCAATCAGTCCCTGCTCAACCCCCAAAATCGCACCACCTGAAATTGTAGTCTAAGCTCCGCCGTCCATCCCAACACGCACTTCACCGTCTTCATTTTGAGGGTTTTTCGATTCAATCTTCGATTTGGTTGCCTGATTAATCTTTGATTTGTGAATTTCGAGCCTAGGTGGGGTTGGTGGTTTCGATACTGGGTATGGGTGAGGCTGGGTGAGGGAGATGCTGGGGTGGTGGTTATGGTGGGAATAGAAGAGGGATGGGGAGGTAAGTGGTGGCAAAGGTGGTGGACTGGTGGTGGTGTAGAGAGGAGAGAGAAAGAAGAGGAGTGAGAAGGAAAGTGAGAATTAAAAAAAAAAAAATTTAACCTGCTTAACAGGTTAAAGGTCAAATGGATCTGCCAAAGAAGGTGGGGTATAAAGGTTGGATTTTTGTGAGATTAAACGAAGGTTAGATTTTTATTGTCAGACCGCCAAAAGGTTGGATTTTTAGTTTCCATTTTTCCTATTTAATTTATACTCCCTCCATTTTTAAATACTTGCTCAACTTTCCTTTTCCGGCCGTTTTTAAATACTTGCTCCATTTCCTTATTTGGAAAACTTTTACAATATTTAATTAATTTCTCTCACCTAGTGGACCCAACATAAATCATATTTTATTAATTTCATATTCTCTCGATCTCCTCTAATTCTCTCCACTACTTTTACTTTATACAATTTTTTATTCTTCCACCCACTCCACTACCTCCATATTTTATTATTTTCTCAAATTTCTTCTAAAACTCCGTGCATGAAGAAATGGAGCAATTATTTAAAAACGAAGGGAGTAGTTGATAAGCTAATAATGCCGGTCGATCTTTAATTTTGCCCCATTAATAAGCTATCGTCCAAGCACAACCAAAATATTATACTACCTCCGTTTCATATACTACCTCCGATTCTTGTTACTTGCAACTTTCAGAGACATTGCGAACTCCTAGGCAAAAGACCCTAAGAATGTTTAATGACAGATAAGATTATATACTTAAGTATTAATCCAACTAAAAAAAACAAATTCAACAAAATTTAAAATAAATAACCCACCACCACTTGGACCGCCTAGTTGTACTTTAACCACCCATCAGGCCACCACCACCACCTACCACAAAACCCAGCAAACCCAACACCGACGACCCCCGAACCCCGCGACCCAAGCACCGACGAAGCCAGCAACCACCGAACCTAGCACCGCCAAACCCAGCACCGCCGAACCCACTGACCTACGAACCCATCAACCACCAAACCACGACCCCACCTAACCCACCGATCTCATCCACGACCACACCAAACCCACCACAGCAACCCACCAAACCATTTACCCACCAAACCCACCGATCTAAGTCGCAACCCACCAAACCCTTGGAACCCACCGAACCTCAACTAACCCACATAATCCACCGACCTCAGCAACCCACCGAACCTCAACTAACCCGTCGAATCCACCGACCTCAACTAACCCACGAACCATCGACCTCAGCAACCCACCAAACCATCGACCTCAGCAACCCATCAAACCACCGACCTCAACTAATCCACCGAACCCACCGACCACAGCAACCCACACTTGGAACACCAACGAACCCACACTTGTAACACCGACAAACCCACCTTGAGAATGGGGTTAGAAGAGGAGAGGAAAAAAAATTGGGGCTGGGAGTAATTTAATTAAGCTTGGGGTTTAATTTAATATTATAAGGTTTGTAGTTTAATAAGGTTGATTAAAAAAAAGTAAGGGTAAAATGGTAAATTTAAGCCTAAAAACTTACTAAAAAAGGAAAGAAAAAAAAAGTTGCAAGTAATGTGAACCATCCAATAATGGTAAAAGTTGTGAGTAAAAAGAATCGGAGGTAGTATTATTTGCAACGATTTGATATATTGATATGTTAGACTTAGCTTATTATATGCAATAAAACAGTAAAAACTTATCTCAATAATGAATTGTGAACCAAATGACAGTAGCCGCGTCGTGGATAACCACTGACCTAAAAGACAATTCCGCGCTACCTCCCGGTGCAGTAAACGCAAAGCGGTCATCCTTTGGGATAAGCACGGTGTCGGAGTTTGTGTGCATTCATTACCCGACTGGAACTCAAAATATTTGCGCATAAATCAGATAATAGGGTTTAAAATTTTTAAGAGAGAAAAAAGTTCGTTGCTGTGATTGTGTATTATGCATGGTTGGTGAAAGCACAACTATTTACAGGGAAGCAGCAAGCAATGATTACCACACAAAAGTGTCTGGGTTCGTTCAGCCAAGCGACCAGATACGTTACACTAAAACGGTAAGAAATAAACCTGGCAATTAATTAGCCAGAATCAAGGGCTAATTAAACTTTAAAAGTCAAAATATAATTGAGAAAAATTTTGTTACCGAAGTAACAAAAAGAGATAAAAAATTATTTTTCCAAAAAGATATATAGAGGGCCCACAGTCCACACACGCATCGCATTCCCCAACACCTTGAGGCCCGGCCCTGCGAGCGTATGGTATAGTCAACAACCCAATTCTCCCACTTAATCAACTAAGTAGGACTAAGATACCACAATACTTAGAAAGGGAGAGCATTTTTTTTCTTTCAATCTTGGACATTTACCTTACTTTTATATCACTTTTTCTTTGTTTTTCATCAAGATTTTCCAACATGATAAACAACGATATAATACGCATATATAGTTACATTAGATGAAGGAATTTAACATATTGATAAACAACATTATACTTAGCTTTATATATATAATGTCAATATTAAGATGATACCTATTTTATGAATTAATGGCCACTTAATAACTATAAATAAAATATAAATAATCATTAGTAGACCTACAAATAAAGGAATATTGTTTGAAAAACTTATTGGTAAAGTATTGTGTAGAACGGACTCACGTGAGTCCGGTCATACAAACAAAAAATGCATGAACCTCCTCTCAGAAGAAGATCTCCCAGACTCTTTCTCTCTCCTCTCGATTACCACCAATTAGCTCTCATGCAAATTGCATCATAATTCTAGATCACACCCTGTTCTTGGATCAGTACTCCGCAATGACCAACATTACACTCCTCAACCTCTCAAAGTTCATCACCCCAGAATACTAAGCTCTTGTTGCTTAAACCTCCACCTTCTTCGCTTGTAAGACGGTCACCAAGGTTCAATTGTGTTATTTAATCTGGGAATTGTAATGTTTATGCCTCTACATTATCGAAATCGAATGGAAAGACGGTGAGAAATTCGGAATCGAGGAAATTAGCTTTGAGTTTGAGCTCTGATTCAGTTGTTAATGGTGGTAAGAGAAAGCAAAATTCTATGATTGATCGAGAGTTTGTGAGGCGGTCGCCGAGGTTTTCGACTTTCAAATCAGAAATGAGCGTTGAAATCGATCTTAAATTAGGGAAAAAGACGCCATATTGAAGCTGATTGAATCTCCGAGATTGTTGCTATTTTATATATTAATTGTCAGATTTTAGATTATAATTGTCATATATTAGATTATAAATATCAGAAATTAAATCATAATTGTCAGAAATTAGGTTATATATACTACTATATAAGATATTAGATATTAGATTATTAATGTCAGATATTAGTTTATTATAATTAGGTATTAGGTTTATTTTGTTTGGTAATAAATTAACTAGTATGGTCATGTTAGGAATATTTTGTTTGGTAATAGAATAGTATGGTCAGGTGTTAGGAATATTAGTGTCATGTATTAGAATACTATTGTCAGATATTAAAATATTAGTGTCATGTATAAGAATATTATTGTCAGGTATTAGAATATTAGTGTCATGTATTAGAATATTATTGTCAGATATTAAAATATTAGTGTCATGTATAAGAATATTATTGTTATGTATTAGAATATTATTGTCATATATTTGGTGTTGCGGGCCTCGTGATCGGATTTAGTTAGCCCGCACCTTTTTGTTGGACTTTTGTTATTGAGACCGGTCTCACGTGAGTCCGGTCTCACACAAAACCTTTTGAAACTTTTTAAATATGATACAAAAATAATACATTAATAAGATATTTATTGAGAGTTATATGACTTATTTCATTTATTTTATACATGCATATAAAATGTTGGAAGCTAAATCTTGTGTGTGGTTAGTCATATGATAGTAAGACCACCTTTGTTTATATGAGTAATATTGTTCATTCATATGAGTAATTAAACCATTTATTTGGTAACTTTATTTTTTCCATACATTGTAACCCCAATTCACTGTACAAGTAACATTAGTTCTTTTTTTAAAAAAAGTAATCTCATCATTACTTGTTCATTTGTTGTTATTTGTTTTAAGTTTTTAACTAAAAAAATAAGCGCACTTGTTTATTCAAGTAACCTCATTTTTCCAATTTATATTGTAATTACCATCTATCTTGGTAACCTCATTTGTTCATTGTTGTAGCCATTATTATACAATCAATTATCTTATGTTTGTTATATGTAAACTGATCACATCACATCATATTATGTAGCTGGCCACATATAAAAATTTGAAAATTCAAAATAAAATTCTAAAACAACTATTTTATTATAAAAAAAAAAGAAAAAAAAAACTTTTGTGAAAAAAAATGGTATGAAATTTATTATTATTAAACACTTGTTAAGTGTATCACTACAAAGATAAAGCAACCCACCAATTAGGAACACTTTAAACACCTGCTGACTGTTACATTACATGCTATTTGCTCTTACGTACGAAACATGCATGACATACATAATTAAAAAGTAAATTTTTAGTACAAAACCTACTTAGTATTACTTGGCTTGTGATTAAATTTTGGTGGAGTGTGTTCAAGGAAATTCATGTCCAAGTCCTCCACCAGCACCTCCACCAAATCCAGCTCCGGCACCACCACCAAGCCCACTACCGAGACCACTGCCTCCACCACCTCCAAACCCTCCACCACCTCCAGCTCCTCCACCTAGTCCACCACCAGCTCCTGCTCCTCCACCTAATCCACCACCAGCTCCAGCTCCCCCTCCGGCTCCAAACCCAGCACCGCCACCAACACCACCCCCTTCGCCAAATCCACCCCCAAGTCCACCACCAGCTCCTCCACCAACACCAACACCAGCACCACCGCCATATCCAAAACCACCTCCTAGACAACCACCGCCTCCACCTCCACCACCGAATCCTATGCCTCCACTTTGGTGCCTGAAAAAAAACTTCTCATCATCATAGGAGTGTGAGTTAGCTAGCTTCCTAGCACTAGTAGTGTAAACTAGTGCACCAAGAAACAAACATAGGAAAACCTTAGAACAAGTCATCTTTGTGTTAATTAGGGTTTCTTTATCTAAGTATGGAATCTTAAAATGACTTGGAATGAGAAATGGAAAGCTGCTTCAGGGGATTATATAGTGAAGGATTTGACTATAGGGATTTCGTACGCAATTTGTGTTGCCAAAAAGATTGGAATGGTTGTAGACTTGTAGTGCTCTATAATTAATTTACATGTTCATCTAATAATAACCGTGTTAGTTTAACTTTAATGCTTGAACCATACTTTTCTTTGTTTGACATAAAAACTTGATGAAAAAGCTAACGAATTTAATCTTTGAACCATACTTTTTGGTATGTTAATTTTTCTTCCGCACTTTTCTTTCACCTTTAATAATCATAATTTTTTGCATGTCCATTTCAATATAAAAATTTAATTGCCTCATATGATACCCGAGTTCTAAGCTATTTTCTCATCGCAGATAGCGCAATTTGCTTAAATTCCTAGTTTTTAACTCACTGTATTTAATTTGCTTTTGCAAAGTTTCTACTAGAGCTGGCAAAAACTGATCCGACCTAAACCCAATTATTAACCGATCCATCTAAATCAGAAAAAATGGTGACCATAATCCGACCTGACCTGACTTGAAACCCACCCTAGACCCGAGTATTTAAGACCCGAACACGAACCGGTCTAGAGATGACCCGACCTGAATGTAACTCGTAAATCATTGACCTGAACCGAACCCGACCTAAATCGAAATTGACCCAAACCCGTTTTAACCCGTCAAAACCAGAATTTGACCCAACATGTTACTAACCCAACCTGAATAGGACCCGACTCATTCCTAACCCAACCCGAATTTGACCCGACTTGTGACTAACCCAACTCGAAATTCAACCTAACCTGTTACAAACCCGACTCAAAAATCAACCCGACTTGTTATTGACCCGACCCGAATTTTATCCGACCTATTACTAACCCGACCCAAAATTCAACCCGATCTGTCACTAACCCGACCCGAAATCAACACTTGTTATTGACACGACCTAAATTCAACCCAAATCGGTCATACCTGATTTCAAATCACCTTAAATTCTATTTAGACCACCTTATTATTATTGATCAAAGCATTTTGTATAGAAAGACCAAGTTGGTCTAGAAGCATCATCCCCGAATTTAAGAGTTAAATATAGTATATATTTGTTGTATGGTCAAAGGAGATCATTATCTTCCTAAATTATAGGCTATAGTTCCCTACTATGTTGCCATATATATTGTTATATTGTCATTACATGAACTGTTAACAAACTGACCCAAAAAATGTACCCGGACCCAAGATGACTCGACTCGAAATCAACTCGAAAGTCAAATTAACCCAATACTTGAGACATGAACCCGAACATGACCCGACTTGGAAATGACCCCACATGATCATAACCTGCAAATTATTGACTTGAACCACTCCCCACATGAACTTGAACATGACTTGACTTGAAAATGATCCGACCTGATTGTAACCCGCAATTTATTGACTTAAATCGAACCCGACTTGAATTTGAGAATGACCCAACTTAGAAATGACTCGACCTGATAATAACCCGCAAGTTATTAACTTGAACCGAACCTGACTCGAATTCGAGAATTACTCTAACCTGTTTTAACCCGTGAAAACCCGACTTATTATTCATGCACCCGACCCGAATGTAACCCGACCTAAACCCGACTCAAACCCAATAAGTTGTATGACCCGACTCAAGCATGACGAAATTCGAACCCAACCCGCATAGGTTATGACATTAACCCGAATTGACCTGACCTACTCTTATCCGACCCAAACCCAACCCGTTTACCCAAATCGAAAACTCTAGTTTCTATATACCTCTTTTACCATTGATATTTTTAACTAGGTATAAGTGAAAATAATAAAAAGTTAAAATTACATCAAGACAATTCTACCAAATTTTTTCCCCAAGTTTTATTACTACCTCCGGTTCAAATTACTCGCAACTACTTTGGGGTATTATTTGTGAGGTATAAAATATTCCAAAATTGCGAGTAATTTGGACCGGAGGTAGTATAAAATACAATACAATCTATTATATTTTGACCAGGTGAATTTTACTTTTTTTTTTTTTAAAGCTTAGTAAATAGTATTTGAGTTGAATATTTTGATATAGAGGAAGTACATATAAACTTTTTTTTCTTTTTGATAAATGAAAAGCAAACAATTAAATGCAAGAAATGATAGATTAATATGTGGGGTTGAAAAATGCAAGAAATGAGAGATTAATATGTGTGGTTGAGAGAAACCATGGAATGGAATAAGCACATGCATTGTTTCTTTAAAAAGTATAATTCGTCTTTGTGTACAAAAAATAACTTTATAGGTATATAAATCAATTATGAGTTTCAACTATCAACTTGAAATTTGGGTTGAATTGGTCCTTTAACATGACATATATAAGAGCCGGTTTGAGGAAAAGATCACGGATTCATGCGACAAAAAATTTATATCTAACTCTATCCTAGATTTCAATCATTAGTTTAAACTTTTAATTAAGTTGGTTCTGTAATGGATAAACCTAACATCCAGGCAAGTAGTTGCTTGCTTTTTTGCTGAAATGTCAATTACGTAGTACTTTCTCCGTTTTCTTTTTTTGATGCAACACACCCTTTAGCGCGGTAATTAAGAAAGGTGGGGTTTACATGACATAATAAACTTTAAAATAGGATAAGTGGTTGTTAGGAGTGTAATTTAGTGGGTCGTGTGCTTTAAATAAGGGAAATAGTATAGTTTTCCCCTAAAATTACTTTCCTTTTATAGTGTGTTGCAAGTATTGTGACATTTCCTTTTTAGAGAAGTGTTGTAAGTAAAAGAAAACAGAGGAAGTATTATTTATATAATTGGCATTTGATTTGAGACGCCCAAAAGAAAACTTATTAGAGCTATATTTTCTTTAATAAGATAAAATATTGTAGTTTATTAATTCCATTATAAGGTGTAAAGTGTACTGTGATTGGTGCTTAATAGCATGAAGGCATAAGTATGCCGTGACAGTTTTTTGTGTCATGCTAAATTTACAAAACAAATATAAGCATTTTCAAAAGAAAATGCCTATATATGTCAATATTAATTACCTTTCATTAAATATAATCACCTTGATCTCACAATAAAACTTGTCACTTGAACCATTGAACCAACTAATTTTGTTTGGCATTATTTTTTATTTTCAATTTTTATATTTTTTTAATAAAAAAAACCAAAAACAAGAAAAAATCATTTTTCAAAACAAATTTAACTAATTTTTGATTCATTATATGAAAAATATCATATGAATATGAAAAACAAAAAACAGAAAACCGTTAGCTTAGGGCGTGTTTGGCATCGTTTTTTGTTTTTAGTTTTCTGTTTTTTTGAAAACCAAAAACAGGAAATAAGAAAAATGTGTTTCCACTTTTCTGTTGTCAGTTTTCAAAATTATCATGATTTTAATAAGTTTGATTAATTTTTAATTCATTATATGACATATATCACATGATTTTAAAAAACAAAAAACTTAAAAACAGAAAACCACAGTGATGCCAAACGAAACCTTAGCTTAAATAACATTGATATAAGTAACTAGTCATACGTAAATTATTTAATTATATAAATCGACCTCTTTGTAAATACTTCCTCCGTTATGCATTATGTGCAACAAAATGAGTTGCACTTTTCCCAAGAAGAAACTTTGAAGGGAGATTAATTAAGGAAATAGCAAATAATTAAAGTTATAAAAGAACACCAACACCACCACCAGAAACCACCAAACCCACCTTGCTGCCACCATAAACCACCAAACGCAGCAACCACCAGACCTGCAACCACCCATACCCACAACCACCCAAAACCACCCAGACCCACAACCACCCAAAACCGACCAAACCCACAACCACCCAAAACCATCCAGACCCATAACCACCTAAAACCGACCATACCCAGAACCACCTAGACCCACAACCACAACCACCCAGACCCACAACTGCCCAGACCAAAAACCGACTAGACCCACAACCACCCAAAACCGACCAGACCTACAACCACAGAAAAAAACCGACCAGGCGATACCACCAAACCCGCAACCTCGTAACCTCAGCCCTCCCCTCTCCCACCCAGTCAACCACCAACCACCCACCGTCTCCCCACTCACCGAAATCCACAAGTCCACAACCACCCACTCACCTTCCCCCTCCTCAAAATCACCACCAACCACCCTAAAATGTGCAGAAAAAAAGCTTAAATTTTGAAAATATTACCTCCTCATTGCTAATTTGGGGTTTATTTGGTCAAATTTGACCATGAAAACTCTAGATCTAGAGTTTTCATGGTTATATTAGACCATAAAAACCTCGACTTTATGCTTTAATGGAAGAGGAAGTGGCGGCAACGACTTTAATGGAGGAAGTGGCGGCAACCCGATCTAAAGGCGGTGGTGGTGTGGTGGTTATGAAAGAAGAGAGAAGTTAGTGGTGAGGGTGGCTTGAAAGAGAGGAGAGAGAAAATAGGGTGGTGGTGGAATGGATGTTGTTAGAGAAAAGAGAGTGGAGGTGAGGGTGGCTTGAGAGAGAGGAGAGATAAAAAATGGTGGTGTGGGTGGTGGATGTGGTTGTGAGGGAGGAGAGAGGAGTGTTGGTGTTATTATTAAGAGTTAATTAAGTTAGGTTAATAAGTTAATGACATGTAGTTAATGTGTTAATTGGATTGAAGTAAGGGTCTTTTAGTAAATTTACTCGAAAAAATTTACTATATAAGGAAACTTTTTTTTTTTGTTGCACATAACTTGTAGCATCCCAAAATAGCAAATGTTGCACATAATGCGTAACGGACGAAGTATATTTTTTTGTCTTTTAGGTGTTCAATTTTTTGTATAAGCAACAATATAATTAACATCTTATTAAGATAGAGCACGTTATACCACCCCCCGCCCCCCTCCGTTCTTTATGAGCTGTACCCAGTTCATTTCCAGATAAATATTGTTTATTATTTGGGGGTATAATTGTCTTTTAAGTATCAGTGGAGGGGTACATGCGTCTTTTCATGTACTAGTTGAGGAGTAAATGTGTAATTTCCTTACCAAACGGTAAAAGTAAGTTGCAAACAGTAATTGGACAGCTCACCAAAAGTACTGAATACATAGCCACACCTTTTCAATATATTTACAAAAGTACCACCAGATTAACAAAAATTCGTTATTCGTTTATCTAGCTGATAAACTTGTATTTGCCCATTCTTTATCAATGTACTTACTTTCCGTGTTAGGCTGTTCATAGGTTTTTTTTTAAAAAAAAAAATAAAAATAATAAATAAAATTCTTCTCACTTTACTTTATTCTATTTATGGCATACCATTTTACCATTTCAATCCTTAAATAATCCACAATACTTACACTGTTTTACCCTCTCTTTTACTTTATTCATCTTTTTCTTACACAAATCTACCTTTTACATTCTCTCTCTGATGATATTTTATTATATTACACCCACCCACATTCTTTAATAATTGCATAAATTGCATATCTACAATATATGGGTATAATATATGAGAATGGAGTAGTTGTTAGAGATATGAGATATCAGTGCGTTCGTTTCTGGTGCGGCTGGCCGCACCATACCATGCGGCAGGGTGCCAAATAAGCAAAAGACAAAAAAGCCCCACCAACCTAGTAACCCCTCCAACCAAGTAACCCCTCCACCTGACCGAACCAAGTAACCCTTGACCGAACCTAGTAACCTCTAACCGCTCAAGTAATCCATCTAGTAAACCCTCTAGTAACCCCTGACCGGCCCAAGTAACCCCTCCGACTTAGAAACCCCTCTAGTAATCCCTCCGACTTAGTAACCTCTTAAGTAACCCCACTTAAGTAACCCCTCCATTATCCCCTCAAGTAACCTCACTTAAATAACCTCCCAAGTAACCCCTAGTAACCCCACTTAAGTAACCTATTTAGACCCGTTAAGTAACCCCCGACCTACCCATTTAATAACCCTTTAAGTAACCCCCGACCTACTAACCCTTGACCCACCACCACCCCCAAAACGCCACTAGCCCCACCCCCAATACGCATTGCCATCACCACCACCATACACCAAACCCACAAACAAATAGATCCAACCGAACCCACAACCAAATCGTTAAAAAAATAAAAATAAATCGAACAAATACCTCTAAAATTAACAATGGCTTCGAATTTTACTTCAAATATGGCTAAAAAGGCCAAATTTGACCATGAAAACTCTATATCTACAGTTTTTATGACCGAATTTGGCCTTAAAAACCTTCAAGTTATTTTTCGACGACGGAGTATGAGGAGCTCACGGAGTACAACGACAGGTTGGTGGAGGACATGCGTTCTTCCTTTGTAATTGCAGGTGGTTTGTTTTGCAAGTATGCTGCCCTTTTTTGGAGAAATGAGGGGAGAGAAAGAGGAGATAGCTTGGTGAAGGAGGTGATATGGGTGGCTAATTGGAGAAGAAGAAATTAAAAGAGGAGAGAGAAAGAGGAGATAGAGAAGAGAGAGAAAAAGAATTAAAAATAAAAAAAAAAATTATATTGTGAGTGGTCATACGGTGCGGCCAGTCACATATGAAACTTTATGCGGAAAATATATGTATGATACATAATCCGTATTGATCTTATTAGTAGATTAATATCTTTAGGTTTATTGTGAGTGAGGGATAGCTCAAGTGGCTAGAATTCCCTCCCGATTCAAAGAGATCTTTGGATCAATTCTCACCCCTGTCCTTCCTATCTTCTTAGTCTAGATTTTGTATAACTAATAATCAACCTATTGATGAATAATAACTGGCAATACAAAGCCATTCTATTAACTCTTTCCTCCTAATTTGTCAGTAGTACATACATAACACCATACTTAATTTTTGAATTATAATTATTATTTATACAATAATTGTTGATCAAACATAAGAACGTAGTCTTATTCCATTTGTTGCAATGACAACTAAGGTCATGGTACAACTTTGAGCAACCACAACTAAAATTGGAATCTAATTAATTGAAATAGCTAGTGTACTAATTTAACATTCATATTTTACGAGAACAATGGTTTCTATAGTGGGGATTCAATAATTGTGATTATGATTAATTGCTATAGTTTTAATTTGAGTTTCCTCCTACTTTGGCCGACTTTGATGGCGCTAGGTAGAACATAAATCAGACAGAGTACACTTATTTAATGCCATAATTGGTAATTCAACTTCTCCATAAATAATAAAAAGGCATAAAATTGATGAGAGTTGAATTTGATAGGTGAAATAGTTTTACCAAATACTACGAATAGTACTTGTATTTTATAGGTCCACTACTTGAATAATGTGGTTTCTACTTTTTAGGCTTTTTAAGTCGGTAGTTTAGAACATTATTGCTCATATAATTGCTATTACTTCTAATGAGAATGAAGAATTAAAACTGTATATGCGATTTTATTAGGGGAACTTATATAGTTTTTATCTAACATAAATATGATCAAAAGTGTGTTCAAGCTAGACGGTGAAAAAACAAATAGAACATAAAAATAAAATTGAAGATAGTTAATTATAAATTTTAAATTATTTTACATGTGATATTACCAAAACATATTCTATCAAATATTTATAATTTCATACGTATACATACATGCAATTAAAGAGTGAGAGACAACTCAAGTGGTTAGAGTTTTCCCGCAGATTTCAAGAGTCGTAACCTTAAAATGTCGAACCATGGTGGCCTGAATTATTTATTTATTATTTTTACAACAGTGATGGCCTGAATTTAAGGTAAAATTTTGTGAATTTTCATCGAGCATACTTCTAGTTTTTTGAAATGTTTTAACTTATCAAGATGCATTTGATGCTATATTTCTCACTTTAACAAGATAGACTTTTCAAGGGTCGAATTATTTATACTAATGTACATCTTATGGCACAACTAACAGAGGTTGTAAGCAAGAATTATAAGAAGATAAAATTAAGTATGGATCCAATTTTATTTATTTATTTATTTATTTTTTTGTTTTTTTTTTTTGCTCTTCATCAAAAATAAGGTGTAGTTTTAGTTGTTATATATATCATAATCTAATTTGGTTTGACTAAGCATTGATTGGTATTTTTACACTAATGTATATGTTAAATTGTGACTCGAAATCTAGCAGGGCTAACTTTGAACGCTTATATCTCTCATACTACAACTGATTTTGAGATGATTCAAGTTGGAGGTGATAGCTTGGTTCAAGAGCTCCAACGATAGGTCATATGCCCAATTCTGATAAGAAACGAGAAAGTTATGACCGTTTTACGAAAACCTGACGAAGCTGGAAATTTGCAACGAGGCTGCGAGCTATAGCTCTATACGAGTGAGCTATAGCTCGGCCCTATGAGGACTTGCTGCAGGCATGAGCTAGCTACCGAGCTATAGCTTGGTAGTTAGGTTATTCTAGGATAATTTATGGAATATTTCCTAAAATTATATCTTTTCTATGACGGCTATTTGAGTATACTTGGGGAACAATCTTAGGGTTTTATTAGGGTTTCCTTATGTTATAAAAGTACCCTTTAGTCGATCAATTAGATCATACCTTTTTTTGAGCCATTAGATTTAGGACTCCTTGTATTATTCTCTTGTTTCTTTCTCCATTATAGTGAAGAAGCTCTCGAATCCCCCACCCGTGGATGTAGGTCTATTTTGACCGAACCACGTAAATCCTTGTGTTCTTTGTTTATCTTTTTTATTGCTTTTCTCAATTCTTAATTCCCATTGAATTTGTTCCGCATTAATCAAACACAATTACATCCTAATTTCCTAACAGTATAAGAAGTAAAATCATCGAGTGACATCTTGTGATATTCATTCATCTTAATGTAAACATTCACTAATCACTATATATAATTGTCATAATTGTTTCAATATATATATATATATATATATATATATATATATATATATATATATATATATATATATATATATATATATATATATATAGAGAGAGAGAGAGAGAGGAAGGCTCATGTAAGAACCCTCCTCTATATAAGAACTCAATCTTATATAAGAACCAATCTCAACCATTTATTAGTTTTGATCCAACCATCTAAAACCATCCTTTAGTAATGGCATTTCTGTAATTCTTTTTTTATGTTCTAAATTTTTTTGCCTACTCTTATGTTCTAAATCTAGTCTACCTATTTTCTAATTTTTTTTTTCTATGTTCCAAATTTAGTCTACTTATATACTAAAGTTTTTTTTTTTTTTTTTTTTTTTTTTTTTTTTTTTTTTTTTTCTTCCTATGTTCTAAATTTTTCCAACCTATGTTCTAAAGTTTTTTTTCTTCTTCTTATGTTCTAAATATTCTTTTACCTATGTTCTAAATTCTTTTGCCTATGATCTAAATTCAGTCTACTTATGTTCTAAAGTTTTTGGGAGGGTTTGCGGAGGCCGAGGCAAATTTTCCTAAGCATGTTTAATGAAAGATAAGGGTATAAAATTAAGTATTAATCAAGGAATAAAAAAAAACAAATTCAACCCAATTAATCAACCACCACCAACCCAGCCACGACCACCAAACCACCAACCCCAGAAACCCAACGACCCCCAACCCACCAATTCCACCAGCCACGACCACCAGAAACCCACCAACCCCAGAAACCCAACTACCCCCAACCCACCGATTCCACCGGCCACGACCACCAGAAACCCACTAACCCCAGAAACCCAACGACCCCCAAACCCACCGACACCGAAACCACCAACCCAACACATCCGAACCACCAAAACCAAAACACCAACCCCGAAACCCACCGATTTGAAACCCATCAGTTTTGTAATTAGGGTGTTTAAAAAAAAAGTAAGGGTAAAATGGTAATTTTATCACTAAAAAGTTACTAAAAAAGGAAAGAAATGGGAAAGTTGCAAGTAATGTGGACCAGCCCAAAAAGAAATAGTTGCAACTAAAGTAGACCAGAGGTAGTATAATGTATTTATATATACATATCAAAAAAAACTTGGTGAGAGCGACAACTAATTGAAGCTTAGAGTAGAAATATCTTTGTGTCGTTTTTGGAGGAGTTGGTGTCTTTAGTGTGACCTCATTCCTTTCCTCTTCCTTCTTCATTGTACGAAAGAAAAACTTAAGCTTATTCCAAATCAGAAATACTTTAGAACATTATAAAAATAATGTTTCAAAGGTTAATGTTTCAAATGATATTAATATTCCAAATGATACCCATGTTCAAAATAGTCATCTCCATATTTGTACAAAAAATGTACTATATATTGTTTTAAATATATGTCTAAAGATATAAACTTAAGATTTACACAATCATATATCAATTTTTGTTCAGCTTTGACCACTTTCTAGCCATCTTCATCACTCTTTTCCGTTCTTCATTTACTTCTTCATTTACTTCTGATGTTATAATCTTCCCACAATACTCCACTCATAACCTTTTCATTTGCTCAAACTGCAAACAAAAAAAATACAAACACGTTAAAATTAAAATACACATGTAATTCAGAATATAATAAAAAATACTTTAGAACATTCCCATGTAATTTAGAACATAATCAGATTAACTTTAGAACATAGACATCTAACTTACAACATAATCAGAATTACTTTAGAACATAATCAAGTAATTTAGAACATAATCAGATTAACTTTAGAACATAGACATTAAACTTAGAACATAATCATAATTACTTTAGAACATAATCAGATTTATTTTAGAACATAATCTATCTAACTTAGAACATAATCAGAATTACTTTAGAACATTATCAAGTAATTTAGAACATAATCAGATTAACTTTAGAACATAGACATTAAACTTAGAACATAATCATAATTACTTTAGAACATAATCAGATTAACTTTAGAACATAGACATCTAACTTATAACATAATCAGAATTGCTTTAGAACATAATCAAGTAATTTAGAACATAATCAGATTAACTTTAGAACATAGACATTAAACTTAGAACATAATCATAATTACTTTAGAACATAATCAGATTAACTTTAGACCATAGACATCTAACTCATAACATAATCAGAATTACTTTAGAACATAATCAAGTAATTTAGAACATAATCAGATTAACTTTAGAACATAGACATTAAACTTAGAACATAATCATAATTACTTTAGAACATAATCAGATTTACTTTAGAACATAGACATTTAACTTAGAACATAATCAGAATTACTTTAGAACATAATCAGAATATGGAGATGTAATTAGAACCTAATCAATCATATGTCTTGACACGTACATTACCCTTCTCTAGCCCCGAATTTCATTGTTTTTGACATTGTCCTAGGTTTCCATGTGCTTCAACAAAAATACTCCACAATCATGTTTGTTTGCATTGCTCTTCCATTTCATCTCAATGTTTCTTGTTTCGAAAGTGGACAAAACGACACTCTTGTTATCAATTTCTTCATAAAATTCACCAAATGCCTTCAACTACAAAATATATATAAATTAACCTTGAAGAAGATAGGAGGGGCAGTAGGCAGAGTAGAAGAGGCTGTAGTAATAGCCATAGCAGCAACAGATCTATTGTTCGAATACACATACTCAAAAAAAAATTCAAAAATTGACATTAATTTGCAAAAATCGAACTAATTCGAACAAAAAAAAAATAATTGACAGATCAAATTTTTCGAACATAAATATTTCACAAAAATCAAAAAAAAATAATTCACAAAAGTCGAACAAAATAATGAACAAAAATCGAACGAAATAATGAACAAAAATTGATCGAAATAATGAACAAAAATCGAACAAAAATCATTCGCAAAAATCAAACAAAATAATTCGCAAAAATCGAACAAAATAATTCGCAAAGATTCGAACCCTAAATTTGCTAAACTCGAACTCAAAATAATCAAACTCCATACGAAAAATCCAACTCAAAAATCGCACAAAATAATACGCAAAAATCGACTCCTAAAAATCGCAAAAATAGAACCCTAAATCCGAACCCTAAAAATTGCAAAAATCACCAATTAAAACTGCAAATTCACTTGAACATCATGCTAATTTCATGAAAATTTGAACAAAATCGAAAAGAAAAACATACCTGAAGCGAAAATCCTTCAAATTGCAACTTCTATCAGATTTTTGGGGGTTTTAGGAGAGAGAAAATGAGAGAATCGGGAAGAAGGGAAAGAAAGTTAGAGGAGAGAGAAAAGGTTGGGAGGTGGGTAAGGGGGTTGAAAAAGTTGGACACGTGTTTTAATCTTAACCGTCTAAAACAACTTGATCCTACGGTTGAGATGGATTCTTATATATTTAGGGTTCTTATATATCTAGGGGTTCTTACCGGATCCCTCCCCTATATATATATATATATATATATATATATATATATATATATATATATATATATATATATATATATATATATATATATATATATATATATATATATATAATTGTCATGATTCTTTTATTAATAAAACTCAATCAACCGTTTTATTTTGATTTGAATATTTTCATCAGCTCCAATAAGAATAATACATAAGCAATAATTTTTTTTTTTAAAACTTTGGAGGATGGAAGGGATTGATGGGCAATGTTGTTCGTTTGCCCATAGTAAGGCCACATATAATCCAGGGGGTTAAGCTCAAATTACAAATTTTAATCATTCTATATTTCACATTAAGATCAAACAACCATCTATATCGTACAATAAAAAAATAAACTCCCATGATGTTAAAAAAAAAATAAAAAATAAAAAATCATATACTTAGCAAAAATCAGAAGCAACAAGATCTTCCACCACACTCGAACAACCCCTACCCAAACTCTCATAGAGGATTCGAGAGGTTTAAGGTGAGCCATACGTGTGCTACACATTAAAAAAAAAAAAAAAAAATTATAACTAGTAGATATTTATAAACTAACTCCATTTCTCTCTTTTGTTGATTTTATTTCCTTTTGTATAGTTTTCTATGAACAAATTTAAGTATCGATATCTTTATCTACATATTATATAGTATATATCCAAACACTATATATTGAGACAAATTTCACAAGATTTCATCTAAAAATATATTTTTTCTTCTAGATAGTAAATATTCCTCATATCTAAAGTTTTTCTCTTTTCGAAATATAAAGTCCAAACCTAACTAACAATAAAGATAGTACAGTTAAATAAAAATATAGTCAAACCTAATTATACGAATGACTTCAAAGTCAAAACACTACAATAAAAAGGAGGAGGTGCAAAGCACTCAATTAATTAATTTGAATTTTTTTATGGGCCTAGTCTGGCAACATCTCATTATTGACCCAATCCTTTCACCTCTTACTTGGTTGGAAAGTAATCATAAGAGGGCCCGATTGGAGACATAACATTATTGGGCCTATTAATTAAGTCGGCCCTTGTTGTTGACTTTATTTATTCTGTTAAAATTATCTAATTCCTAAAAACATTATCCACAAATATATCACCAAAAAAAAAATAAACAATACAGTTGAGGTCGTTATTCTTCCTCTATGAGTTGCATTCATTGTTCATCTCCACCTTTTCATTTGCAAAACCAAAGGCATAATGCTAAAATACCTGCCAATTTATTTGGGAAAATTTCAACAAAAAGGCATTGCAATGTTAATAATGTAAAAGTTGGTGTTTTTTCTATGAATAATTTTGAGGCTTTTCCTACTTGTATCACCCTTGCTGTTGCTAAACCTGCTGATACTGAAGTTTTGTTGAAAACGAGGTATGATTTTATTTCATATTTGATTGTGTATTTGTAATTCGGAAATCATTTGGTGAGCCACGGTTGTATTATGGCTCGTTTGGTTGGCAATAATAAATTTATGTGTAATTTCAAAAGATAATTTTGTAAGGTATTAAGTGATAACCAAGTTTTATACAAATGACATTTGACATGAAAAGTTTGATAAATTTCACGCGATTATATTACTATTACTCTCGTTTATCACCACCTATTATTAAATGATTATGATTAATAATGAAAGTGAGTTGCTTGTGATATGTAATCCTGTTACTATTACTCCCTCAGTTTCATAGTATTAGGTACTCGAGCTTTGTGATAACAAATTTGAATACAAACTTATTATTTGGAAGCATACCTATAAATGTGGTTTTCGGGTTTTAATGTTGCTCATTCAATTTGCAGTGCAGTGCTGATATTTTTCTACTTGTTAGCCAATTTTGTGGTGCCACAATTTATCACCAAAAGTTTTGAGGACATCGCTGATGAAAACGAGAAGCCTAGCAGCACGGACTCTCTGGATGAGGCAAAAACGAGCTCAACAAGGAAGCGTGGTTTTGACAGCACCAAACCGAAATAAGCATATCCTTTTACATACTCTAATCTATAAGCAATAGCACGTACGTTTCGCTGTTACTCATTCGGATGTTATTACTTAAGATTTGTATGGCAGTGACAAGAGTAATTCAGAATAAGTGCAAGAACAAAAACTTGCTGCTAATTCTTGAATACCAAAATTATTTTTCCATTTCTAGTGTTCTGTACGACTGTACCTGAACACAAAAAATAATTACAATATTGTCCATGGAAATTTGGATGGACTGATAACTATATCTAATTTACAATTTGATTATAATTTATATAAGCAAATATTCAAACAACTGTCCAATCATTTTCATCGGAACCAGATGAGTTGTTGGTTGGGGGTTGTGTGTTTTCGGGTTTAGGAGGCTTCTTTGAAAACAATGTCGATCTACTATCAAAAAAATTCGAAAATGGCTGGCGGGCTGGAGCCTCTTCCGCACTATTATTCTCATCTGAGGATGATTTTTTTGACCTGTTTTTACGACCAAAAATTTGGCTTAACTTCTTAAACCGGGGTTTTGGTTCCTCTGGGGCGACATTTGCATCTTCTGACTGCTTCACAGCTTTCATGACATCGTCTGGCCGAAGAAATATTGCTTCCACTGTTTCGTAAACCTGCACAAGCCAAGAACATAGAGATACATATTAGCTTATGTCATAGTAGTAAAGCACAAATGGGATAATGCAGTTATATGAACCTTATGATACCACAATTCTTTCAACTCTGATGACATACTATTTGTTGCATGGTAAGGAAAAACTTACATAGAGAACATACATGAAAATTTTCAATTCAATTTTTAGGGGGAAAATAAAAATCTAATAAACTACGCCTATTGAAAAAAGATGAAAGTATTATTAGATCTACACAGCGTGACAGCATTGAGGAAAGTACAGAACCAGCAATTTGGTATGAATGACAAATTCAAGACTAGTACTTCGTATAATACTTTGTATTCACTTTACTGGAAGATCTACCTGGCAAATATCGTCAATTTTTTCCATCCAAGCATCACCTTGAAACGAAGCAACTACAAATTCTTTACACTCAGAGAACAGTTTTGCTACATTTTCATCTGTTGAAAGCTTAGCCTCAGCAAGCACAAATCCTAAACTAAGCTGAAACCAAAGAAAAACACAGGTGAAATATCGTCCACAACTTAGTGAATGGAGATGAATAAAAAATAATGTAGATATAGATTTTACCAATGACCGAAATAACTGGCCAAATAGCTCAGATGGAGTAATGTTCTCCAATACACTCAGCACACCTTCCCTACAGAATGCCCAGATTTTCAAGTTAGTATTAGGCTAAGTCATAAGCAGCATCTGGTGCATTATTCTATAAACTTACACTGCCAAATCCTCGTCAAATAACGGTGCTTGTCTAATGGCAGGCACAGACTTGGCAGCTTCCCAAAGTTCTAGCCATAAATTACCTAAAAAAAACAAGGGATCAAAAAGGCTTTTCCACAAAACTGGTTTTTGACAGCTACAGTACAACTTCTAGAATCAATTCTAATAGAATTAACAGTGCCAAAATACAAGCAGAACACTCTCTTCCCGCCCCCCAAAAGAAACTCACAATTGCCAAAACTGAGTGCCATCTCAATTCTCAGACATACAGAGATTGAGTAATATAATGGTAAAGAAGAGAAAACATCATTGCATTACGACCTCTAGCAGAAAACTCTAAAACAAAAGAATTAACAGCTTCATCCACAATAAACAACTCCATAAAGTGCAACTACCAGATAGGGCCTGCATCAAATAGCTGTATACCCTAGTAGGCGACCTTATCACCTAAAACTTCATGTATAATGGTTTTTTTTATAAGACATTCTAAATAAATGCTGAGCAGCCAAGACCTGTTGGTTAGACAGCACATCTGGAGCCTTCCAAGTGTTCCAGCACATACATCCAGAATCTAATGCAGGGGTGCTTCAATCCCATGATGGCCACGATACAAGTAAAAAACACAACATACTAGGGAAAGGACAACTAATTATTACTCAAAATATGGTGGAGAATTCAGGGATGGGAGCTATTTCAGCATGGGCTAAATTGGTCATTACGTGGCAAGAAGCATTTACTCCCTCAGTCCCAAGTGATACTTGTTCTTTGACTAATCTCATTTCATTGTCCTCTGGGATGATATGTGTATTTACCCATATTTGACTAGTCTAAATTTTTAACTATACTAACACACTTGATTTCTGTCCACAGTGCTAACAAAAGATAAGATAATATTTCCAGGTGACAAGCTAACCTTCTTTCTGCATACGTCTACTTAATCGACCTCTGGAAGACGTTGAATCACCTCCACATGTACTGGCATCAGAGTCATTGCCAGACTCGTTTTCTGTCCAATCAGGAGGAGAGTGCCACCTTACAAAGTCCTCAAGAATACATCCAGGATTTGCAGCCTGACAAAGGTTTAGTAGCAAAATATAGCAGCAGTTATAAACGGAGACGATTAACCCTGACAAATGAGAAGAAAAAACAGGATATGTCGTCTTTTTCTCAAGCAGTGGACACACCTTAAAAGCTTGCATATCAGACAAAAGCTGGGAACAACCAGCACCAACACTGCAAATCACCAATAAACAAGCTGTCATTAAACTGATACAACACAAACCAATCATATTTTAACAGTTACAGATAATGTCATATTGCCCAAGCCCCGCCCCCTCCCCCCCCCCCCCCCCCCCAAAAAAAAAAAAAAAAAAAAAAATGATCCAAACTAGCTTACTTCCATATCTATGATGACTGAAGCCCAATGATGGTTTCATGTTAAGGTGACCCAATTCAAGTTTTCATCCCATTCAATAAAGTGAATTGCAATGGTGCTTAAGTCAATTTATCAACAATAAATAGACTAATCCTAGTTTTATCAACTAGAATAATGGGACTTCAGAAACTCTCAATAAAGGTATACATAGGTGGGAGACTTTGATGAATCATAGGCATAGACATGAGGAAGACTTGGCAAAGCTCCTGTTTCATGGAGGACCCAAATTCTCAGCCAGGCTTCACCGCTTCAGTAGAGCATGACAACTTTGCATGAATTGCTCTGTTGATTTTAGTTTTATATTTTTATTTTATTTATTTTTACCTAACTTACAACTTTCCTATGATGGTCTTCAAGCTTGACAGCAAGATAGAGATGACAATTAACAATATCAACTGCAAAATGTTAGTAATGCTAACCTCCCTGTTCGGAGAACAAACTCTTCAGCTTCTCGGGCTAGATCCTCCGTTAGCAATGGTCCTTCCTGCAGAAGCACATAATAACTCAGCAACAGAAACAAGAAGGAAACATCATATACACAGTATATTGAACAAACCTGCGTCAACGGAGCATACACAGGTTCTCCTGTTTCCAACAATGTCAAATTTTCAGCCTGATGACTGACTCCCAACCGTACAATAAGATCCCCATTGTTTGTTTTGGCATACAAAAAGGAACCTGAAGTTATTCTTTCAACCGAGGAAGGCACTCCATCAGCATCACAACCAGCTTCACTGATTAATGACTCCAATGAGTCGGTAGCAATAGCACGACGTTTTTTTCTAGAAAGACAACAATTCATAAGTTGCATTTGCTGATAGAGCAGACATAAACTTAAATCTGGTACTTCATTCAGAGGAATTCCAGGTATATATAGCTCTTCCATCCAAAGTCTTCTGAGCTGCACATTCAGAAAATGTGTTAAATTTAACAAGGTCTTAATTTATCTTATGATGTAATAGGAAGCACAACATTGTAGTTTAAATCTATTGAAAAAAATAGTAAGACACAGAGAGTCGGGAAAATGCATTTAGGCAATTTACCTACAAATGGATACAGACATTAAACAGGAAACACTTGAATGCATTAGAACTTAGTAATGGATGAAAGGTTTTAAAAAACATTATTCAAAGAAGTTTTGAAAACAATAAAACACTTTTTGCCGTATACAGTATATCAGAATTGCACTCAAATCTATATTTTCCTCTTTTTCTACTGTTTGATATGATTTCTAGAATAGGCCAATAGGGAAATTATTTTTTCCGGGGGGGGGGGGGGGGGGGGGGGTGGTTGTTAATAATGTTATTTAAATTTCTTCACCACAGGACTCTTATAAACACTTTAAATTATGTGCATGACTTACTTCACTGACAATCCTGCACCAAAATAATGCCATTTTCCGTAATGTCTTAAAGCTTCCCATTACTTCAGAGACTTTAACAATCAAGCTTTGTGGCGGTGCACCATGGATATCTCTTGGTAATGCCATTGTATTAGGCAGATTTTCAACCAAAAAGCCGACTTTCCTACCAGGAGAAAGTCCCTCTGCGAACATCTTGTAGATATTACAATGGAAGTGAAGATCACTAATGTATAATTGACCAATTTTTAGTTTAAAAGTTATTCTATGTTATATATACTTGAACACATAAACAGCTATGTACTGACCAGCATCAAGTATAGATTGAATTAAAGCCCAAGCTTCATCGTCGCTGAACTCAGAAGTAAACTTTTCTTCCTTCCCACGGAGCATCGACTTCACTGCAGAGATGCCCATACTTGCCCTTTCTCGAACTGGGGAAGAACTTGCAGATGATGTGAGAAAATCTCTCACTGACCTATAGTTCTTTTCTGACCTGTCAAGTACCAAAACTGTGTTGGATAACAGAAATGACTATGTAATAACTTGTTTCAACAAAATTCAAAAAGAAATGCAGGATAAGATGGATTTGTTGTACTATCAAAAAACACAGAAAACTTATTAACAGCAACCTCAACCCTGACAATGAAACTGAGTTTATCCGCCAGTATAGCAAAGAATTAATTGACAATAAAACAAGCATATGTTAATTTCACCTGATGTACATTTTTTGTACATTGATAAGGCCAATAAACAAATACAAAATGAAGTTATTTGTAGGTAGAAAGTAGTAAATAGTGAGCTTACTCAATGGCAATAGCCAGTTGTTTTAATACAAATGAAGGTGGGATTATATCTCTGTTGCCATCATAACTATCTGAAGATGTATCCTGTACACATCAGAAAATTCTACATTAATAAGCTGAATCAGAATTATAAAAATCAAATCGAACAGAGTCGGGGTTAAAAAGACTAGGATGAGGACCTAATAGATATGCAAAGTTGGTTGTACTATACTACCTTCCTCATTACCCTCCTTAGTCAGTTAGTCTTCTTCCATATAACATCCCAAAGGATAGGTGAAAGTTATATGAAGTTAATT